CACCATTTATTTTTCAGCAGGATTCAGCTCCATGCCACACAGCAAAAGTATGCAAAGCATGCTTTCAAAATAAAGGCATAGATATATTACCATGGCCAGGAAACAGCTCTGATCTCAATCCAATTGAAAATTTGTTGCGACGTTTGAAAGTTCTTGTACGAAAAAAACGTCCATCCAATAAAAGACAAGTTATTGAAGCTATAATTGATTCCTAGCACCATGTGATTACGAAAGATGAACTCCAAACACTCGTTCACTCGATGAGAAGACGCTGTGAAGCTGCCTTAAAAAATAATGGTTATCCTACTTAGTATTGATTATGTAAGTATCACTTTAAAAAAATGCAAATCTAGGATAGATCTTACTATTAGTTGTATAACTTTTTTTGTAATACAGATATTGTAATACTGTATTTATTATGACATTTTACATTAAATTACCTTCAATTTGATATATAAACGTTTGTATTTAAGTGAAAATTAATATATTCTACAAGCACACAAAGTTGAAAAGCATGAAACTTTCAAAAAATATCCACACACACATATATATATATAGTATAATACGTCGATCTGGAAAATGTACTTTTAAACAAAGTAGATTACTAGGACTAAAACACTGCATAAATAAAAAGGAAAAAAAAATACTGCCGATATCAACACATAGTTTTTTTTATGTATGTACATATAGAGTTTTGTATAGCTCGTTCGTTTTCGGCAACAAATGGCCTTTCAATAGATTCGTCTGCTGATACATCTCACCCCTAAATCCCTTTCGAACAAAACGCAGGGGAGGATGTAAAAGAGAAATAATAGACTTCAGCATTTTGGACTATTGGGTGTCAATGCCGTAAGATATCAGGAACTGATACCATTTTACCCCTGGTATAGTTCTTGCACCCATGCGTTTTGTAAATATTTCCTGGCGTTTTTTCTTCTTTTTTTTTCCCCTAAAAAAAGCGCCAAGCTAGAAATTTATCGCCGGCTACAAAATTCAAAGGATTTATTCGCCAAGGTACCTTAGAAAAGTGATTATATTTCAATTCGGCCCGGCGATGTTTATTCCCCAGGGAGAAAAAATACCAAAGGGTGTACTTCTTTTCCGAATTCTTGGAGTTTGAAGATTCTATTCTCTTATCGAAAGGCTATTTTAAAGTTTTTTTCTTTCCTATTTAAAGCTCAGAACGATATCAATTTTTTCTCTCTCCTTTTTTCGGGAAAAAAAACGGTAGAAAAGATATGAGAGATGAGAAGTGAGGTAGAAAATGGATTTCTGATAGCCCATGTTGAGCTCATTTAAAAATTGTAAAAGAAATTAGGATAAAAGTGAAAATTTATTCTTAATTTCTCCATAAAATATTCATTTTTATTGTTGTTGTTCATTTCGTTTATATGAAAGGAAATATTCATTATTATTATTATATTAATACGGTCCCCCAATATCAGTATTGCTTTTAAATCAGTAGCAAAAATATTTTTTTATATATTATATAAAATTTAATATATTGAATATGTTATCTAAATTTTATAATTTAATATATTATATAAATTTTTAGGAGTAAAGATTTTGATGTGCTTAAGCTTCCGAAGCCAAAAATGTTGATGGTCTTCCATTGATGGACAAAAATAATTTTGATGGTAACCATCAATGTATAAGGTAAGGGTGAAAGACATGGAATTTAATTTAAATGAACTAAAAAACGAGAAGATATTTTAAAACGAAAACATTTTAATAAAGAATAATAAACAGCGACAAATATGTAAAGCGAAACGTTCTATTTATGTATCCAATATGTTGCCACCTGTTTTATATAAATGTTAAACTTTTCTGCATTGCAATAAATATGAACTTATACGAACCTTACAAACAATACCATCATGAACCATTATATTTTTGATGGTAACCAACACAAGTAACCATCACCCCAATGTAGGAATTCGGACTGATTTATGACGTTCCAACATAAGAATAGCAACCTGCGTTGATGGTTGTTCATGTTGAACCGTCGGAAATTTCCATCACCGTTTTTTAGAAATCAAATGTTGGAACAATCATGAACCACATCACCCCAATGTAGGAATTCGGACTGATTTATGATGGTCCAACATAAGAGTAGCAACCTGCTTTATAATAATAATGCATAGTTGGAACCATCATGGATCATCATGGATTGTTGGTCCATGAGAATCAAACTTCTCTTGGTGGTTAACCATCATAATATTAAAGTAGCATTTTCCAAGATGGAACGATGGAAGTTTCTTGGCATATCAAGAACGCGGAATGCAGAATGTGAAATGTTGCATAATGGTGACCATCAAATGAGGTTGGACCATCATGAATCGCATTGGAACCATCAACTGATTTGATGAGACCATCAAGAATTTTGACTTGGGTTAAAACGGATAGCTGAAGATACTCTTTCAGAAACACTTCAAATTTAATATAACGAAATAAACACAAAAAGTAAAAATCACGAACACAACAATTCTATACGAGCACAAATTATGCACTCTCATACTGAAAATCTAAAAAAAAAAATCTGTTCTTTCTTGTTTTTCCCTCTCGGTTTAAAAGTCTAATTGTTTTTTCTATCACAAATATTTCCCTTTTTTCCCCTTTCTATCACAAATTTTATTTTTCCCTTTGTATATGTATATGTTACGGCCAAAGCCCGAAGTCCGGCCTAAGTTCGAAATTTTCTTGATTTCGGGAATTAGCCTGCCAGATCGCCGATGTTCCGGCCGAAGTGCGAAATAATTGAAATGAACAGTGAATACCTTGGCGGCCTTCTATAATTATATAAATAATTCTTATAAATCTTCTAATTTAAAAATATAAAAAAATAGAAGTTTTTAAATTGTCTATTGAATAATCATTAATTTAATAATCATCATTAAATTGTCTATTTAATTGTTTTATTAAGAAGTTTATATGCTAATATTACCCCTTTTGTTTTCTTTCTTAATTTAAAAATATAAATCTTCTAATTTAAAAATATAGACGAGTTTTTTAATTAAAATTTAAAAAATTTAATTTTTTACTTTGTCTCAATTTAAATCAAGAAAATATCGGACATTGGCCAGAACATCGTGGCCACTTCGCGATCTGGCCGGCCAATTCCCGAAATCAAGAAAATTTCGGACTTTGGCCAGCCAATTTAAAGCGTTCTTGGCCAATTCGCGATCTGGCCGACTTCGGGCTTTGGCCGTAACATATATACAAATTTTAGTTTTCCCTTTTTCCCATATACATTTTTCCCCCTTTTCCCCGAAACTCGCAAACAAAAACGTGTCTTAATTAATTAATTCCAATGTCTTAATTATATAATAATACTAATTATTATTATTTGGAATTTTTAGTAACAAATAGGAATTTGTTTATGGATTTCAATTGTTTTTTGGAATACATAAAAATGAGCGATACATCTATGTTCGCGATATATTAAAAGACAATATGTATATTACAATATGTATAGTTATTTAGGGATAAAGATTCGATTTGTTTTCGGTAGACACGTAAAAGAGCTATACGAGGCCTGTCTAAAAAGTATCGGGCTTAATTTTTCCTGCGCAAAGTAGTGATTCTAAGGCTGCGCCACAGACCCACAGTGCACAGTGGAAGGAGGAACCTTAATGCACATGCTTGAATTTTTTCACCGCGTTCGCTTGTGCAAGTCACTGGCTGGTGGTCGCCAAGTAAGGTGCTTTTCGTAGTGTTCGTCGGATTTAGTTTTCTCACAAGATGACTGAACGAATTTAGCAAGGACGTTGCATCAAATTCTGTCAAAAGCTTGGTGATTCTCAAAGCCAAACCATTCGTAAGATTCAGCGAGTGTTTGGAGAGGAAGCGATGGGTGTAACACAAATTAAGGAGTGGTTCAACCGATTCAAGGAGAGCCTCACATCAGCGGAGAGTGAGCAGCGTTGTGGCAGACCCCAAACTGCTCGGATTGCAGCTAATGTTGAGAGATTGTGAAATTTGGTGATGGCAGATCATCGTTTAACAGTGCGAGAGATTGCAGAAGAGGTTGGAGTGAGTAAAGATTCTGCACATGCAATTTTGCGTGAAGATTTGAACATGAACCGAGTGGCTGCGAAATTTCTACTCAAGTTGTTGTCGACGAAACAAAAAGACTTCCGTTTTGACGTTGCACAGGACCTTCTGGACACCGCCAACACTGATCCTGGGTTTCTGAACACCGTGATAACTGGAGATGAGTCATGGGTGTACGGGTACGACCTAGAAACAAAAAGACAGTCGTCGCAATGGAAGCATCCCGATTCTCCAAGGCCGAAGAAAGCGCTGCAGGAGCGAAGCAAAATCAAGTTGATACTGACTATTTTCTTTGATGTCCGTGGAATTGTGCATCACGAATACGCACTGGAAGGACAAACAGTGACAAAGGAATACTATCAAGATATTCACCGGCGACTCCATGACGCAGACCAGACATGTGGACGGCGAACAACTGGCACTTGCATCATGACAACGCCCCTGCACATTTGTCCCAATTGATCCACACTTTCTTAGCCAAACATGGAATTACAACCGTTCGCCAACCTCCCTTCTCTCCAGATCTGGCTCCTTGCGACTTCTGGCTGTTTCCAAAATTGAAGACGCCACTGAAGGAATCCCGTTTTGAGAGTAGAGAAGAGATAATGCGGAACGCGACGACGGAGCTGAACATCATTCCAAAAGCAGACTTCCAAGGGTGTTTCCAGCAGTGGAAGGATCGGTGGGCTAAGTGTGTGCAAGCACAAGGGGCCTACTTTGAAGGGGATTAGGGTCCCAACTCCAACAGGTATTCTAAATATTTTTCTGGCCAAAGGTCGGATACTTTTTAGACAGGCCTCGTATATCCGATCTCTTGATTTAACGAAGTTTGATATAATGGGAAATAATGAATAAAAATATTTATAGGGATTTTTTTTGGAGGGGGAGTCATGAAAATGAGTCATATATCCAAATGTATGATATACCGACAGAATACCGTGTTACGTTATATAAAGTTTTCTAGAGAATTGATTTGTTTTTTGGGAGGCAGGAAAAAGTGCAATATATTTGAATATGCCTACTGAATACAATGCAGGGTGATATGCCAAGAGACCATTGTGTTAAAGTATGTAAAGTAGTCGAGGAATTTTATTTGTTTTTTGGGAAACTTTCAAAAATTGCAAAAATATCCGAATGCGTAATACAGTAAAGGATGATGTAATGAATAACTGGGACCCTAGACGACTGTATATTACTCAGCAATCCTTCATTACATCATCCTTTACTGTATCACTCGTTCGGATCTTTTGCACTTTTTTAAAGTTGTTTAGGGATTGTATTTTTTCTTTGGGAGACATTAAAAAAGTGCAGAAGATCCGAATGAGTGATACAGTAAAGGATGATTCAATTTTTTTAGGGGTTGGAAGTCCCATATAAAAATGCGGTATATCAGAATGCGTGGTACTATGAAGGATTTATAATAAAAAAAACTATATCATTAAACTAAATAAAATAAAGAAAAACAAACTAATTCACAGCATATTTTGTGGATGTAAGGAATCTTTTATAACAGACATTATTCAGTGCTTTAGCAGTAGCAACTGAATTCCCCTTTTACAATGATGTCCTCTTTATAGACATCTCCTGATTCGCGGATGCCTTGGATTTTATCCGCTAAAAGTGGCCTCAAGGTATATTTTCCGCCCAATCTTATTCTCCCCAGAGGGCACTCCTCCTCCTCCTCCCACTCATCATCATCAACCATTCACAATTCCCTCTCTTCCCCATTCATGTGTTCAGTTCTTAAGTAAATGCAATTAAATTACTTATCCCAGCATTAATTATTTACAGCCTCTTTAAAGAGACATTTTTCAAGCAACTTTTAATAATGTCACGCTGGAGGGGGATAGAAGCTATTTAAAACACAAATAATTTCATGTTTTACATTTTTTTTTTATTTATGTATGCACATAGAAAAATTACTTTCAGTTTTCATTCGTTTTTAGTTTTCATGGTGAAATATTAGCAAGAAAAAAAAATTCGCGTTGTATAAGATTTTTCTGTACGTACAATAAATAGCTCAAGGCAATTCGTCTTCAGTACCGATATTAGGGGAGAGTGGGGTCAATTGTAACAGGGTACGATTGCAACAGAGCAAAAATTTCGAGTGTCGGGTTCTAAATTTGGTTCCTAGGAGGCGCACAAGGTGTATTTAATAAATCTACATGTACACCCCTGCTGGCAACCATTTTTATATACTTTTGAAAGAGTTACATCACAAAAGATATTTTCACGCTACGTAAGTACTTTTTTTGGTATTAGAATATTATATTGTAACAAAGTAATTTT